TAGCAAATACAGCTATATATGTGACAGTAAAAAAGCGGACGAACGTTCCAAAATGGATTTCATATTAAAATGACAATCTTCTGAGTTTTACATCTAGACAATAAATAAGTATGAAACCATCCTAAATTTTATAATTGAAAACCAACTAGACTGAAAATATAAGACGTGAAGGCTCATGTTTCAGTCGCTCTTGTTTTCGTGTTCCCACAATGCTAAGGAGACTCAGACACAGAAGAATCTAATATATGGTGCTCTCTCCCCTAAATTATCTCTTAAATTTGTCACTCCATGGTGGAAACTCTTCGAAGTCAACTTATCCTCATACACCATGTAAATAGATGAATTTGTACTGGGTCTTCTTAACACATCATAATAAATGTTTCAGTGTTTTGTTTTTATTTAGTTGACTGGTAGCCTTTCATATTAAGTTATTTTGGAAATCTAATCGAGGTAAATATTTTGAGGTTCATAAAAAAACAATAGCAGTGATTTGCTTTATTGATGGTAACCTGATCAAATCTTGTTTGTATCAAAAGCTTACATTTCGTTAACTTATCTTCTGAAAAATACACAATACTGTCCATTTCCTCATTACTAGCCAATTCCAATTATTTTACCTTAGTATTATTTTCTGTGTGTGCATTGTTTTTTTCTTCAAATGTATTCCTCCTTAATGTTCTACTTATTATTTTTAAGGCTATGTTACTAAATTTGTATGAACATCTGTGGCCAAATTCACACTCCCATCAGGATCAGCCACAATCATGTTGATTAAATATTGGTTATTAGCGTTTGATTAATGTGTTTGGTACAGTCCTATAATCATCGAAGTACTTTAACAGTTTCACAGTAACATCTGAAATTGTTTCTCAAACAGAAGCAATACTAAAAGCGACAATAGGTTTGGAGATGTTAGTTAATACAGTATATTGTGACAATATTACCTCAGATTTTGTTCAATACTCCATTCTAAATTCACTATTAAACACTATTCCAACAGACAAAAGTCTTTATATTGGTAAATGTGCTTGCACATGATAAAACTAACATTTTAACGCCAAGATCGGAAAAACACACATCCTCGATTTCACTGTAAGCCACTATCCAACTCTACCTCATATCAAGTTCATAACATTCCTTAAACAAAATCCAGGAATAAAGACTAACCAAAAGTGAATCTTTTCTAGACATCAGTCAATTCAATACAATGTGATTTTATAAGGCCAACAATTAAAGTACTACTTCCTGTACTTTTTATAAGAACTTAGTTTTCAATATCTCTACCTTAAGTACACTGAATAAGTTTTTTTTGTTTTTGAGTTGCTACTAATCATTTTTGGAAAGTACGTATCATAATGTAATGTCGCATGACTATAGTTGTACTTTATCTTACGGAGATTTTTTATCCCAAACTCGAGTAGCTGGATGTACCTGCATCCAAGAGTTGATGTTCACCTACAGAGAACGAAATGCACGTCCTGGATCCCACTACTAACCACTATTCATCTTCGTTTATAATGCTTGTAACTAAAGGCAATATCAAGGCAATCCGTACAGGATGCACATATGCCAATATAAATCTGACCAATTTCAGTACTGAAGTGTTATATCCTAGTGAAGATTACATCACGAGTAACGTCTGAGATCTATTAATGGACTAATATTATTTATATGTTCTTACGGTATAAATATTCAATAATTAGATCATGTATATCTATATTCCTCTTGTTATAAGCTTTATTTTGACCTATATATGATTATTGTACGATTTATTGTTCTTAAGCTATGTTCAGTTTATTGACTACTGCCTCCGTTCACAGCCACTTTTTGGCTTTATTGTGTATGAATGTTACTTCCCATTTTATGCTGCGTTGCGGTGTTTGTTTGGAATATAAACTCAGTATGTTTGAAATAAATGATTCGCATAGTGGAGGGTTATTGGCATTCTGGACGGGCTAGGCCAGCAACGGACCAATAGGACGCTAGGCTGATCAGACCGGTTGGACGTCATTGGTTTAGTACAGTATGAGAACGAATGTTGCATTTTGATTGGCGAATAGATTACGTGATAACAAGCGGCTCTTAATGTCACAACAGAAAGATTCAAACAAATAATACAAAATGAACCAGTATTCATTGTCATATTGTTATAAATATACGTTGATCGATAACTCGGGATAGCGATTCGGTCAATCAAAATCTTGGTTATTATTTACCTACTCTATCTTATACTAATCGGTAATTGTCGACCGGTAAGCTTAATATTAAGTTTAGCCGAAAACAACTCTAACTCCATTTAGTCCAGGAAGTATGCCTTACTTCTTTTCCTGGTCCTGATTGTGAATGATACAAGACAGCAACAAAGCTTCTACTACTATATTTCCAGCACACAATATATCACAAACACTCATTAATTTATGTACAGGAACAGAACGCAAAGCATACCAAACATGAAATCGTACTTTTCACACAACCATTAATCTTTTCCGCCACTAAATTCATTATTTATTTTTGTTGTTTTCTCATCTAACTTTTCCGCATTTATCTTCCGTCTTCTAACTTTAATCGCCATGATTACACCAATATTTCAAATTGTTTAAAATAAACAAAATGACAAATGGATATACAAGGCTTGTAACAATAGGTTGTTCATGAATCATAAATGTACCGAGTATTTACTTTCGTCAGTGTCCTATTTGTATTTACCAAAACGTTTTCTGTAAACTACATGATACATATTTTTAGACTAATTAATAATTCAAAACTATTGTATGTGGTTTAACTGATTACAGGATAAAATACATGGCAGATCTTAAGACTGGAACACAATTTCAAGCATAGTTAATAACTATTACATCAATGAAAATTTTAATACAGGTAAGTGGTAAACTCAGTATATATGGTCACATGAATACCTACGTTGAATGCTGGAGAACAGAAACTACCATTACATGCAACATGCAATAAACCAATTTATTAATCAGTCCTAATCAGGTATTTACTTCGCATATGTTTAACATTTACTCGAAGATTGACTAATTCCAGTATAGCAATCTTGAGTAAATATATGAGAAGTAGGATGCAGGTTATCATTCTTACAAAAAATATTTAGTATTCTGACACAATTATAAAAACAGAATTCCGGGTTTTATTAGAGCCACTGTGCGGAAGTCGTAATTGAAGAAGTAGTATGATGTAGTCTGATTATTTCTCCGAGAAGTATCTCTCACAAATAGCCTGAATCACACAATTCAAGAGTATGTATACAGAATCAAAATGTCCTTGAGAAACGTCACAAAACAGCATACTAAAAGAGGCAACTAGCCAATGACATTTAGGGTCCCTCCAAGTTGGAAATACAATGTGAAGATAAAATGGGCACCTTTTGGCACTAAAACGAGAAATTCAAATTTATATAATAAAATTGCAAAAACAAGGCGTACACCAAATGAGCTGTAAGGATCCTCAACAATGATTTTCAGTAATTAATGTTGGATGAATCAGCTTTATGATAGACCGTTTATTTTTATGATGATAAAATCGTTTCCGTGACCCTATTGAGTTTACCATCGTTATAATGTGAGTGTAACAAAATCCCTCACTTGTAATAGGACTCTCTCCCAATTTATTTACTCCACTTGCTAAGTAGGCTACTACATATTATCCTTCAACAACGTCCTCTAATTATTATGATCTTAGCGTTTGATATTTCTTCTTCAGATCAGTCAAGTGAACATGATCGCTGTTACTTCTGATCGGTAAGTTACTCTCATTTCTCCATTCTCTTCTGACCCCTTGGTCAAGAAGCAAGATCCTTGTTACTTAAAATCCCGGATTACTTTATGATGTAATCTTTTCTATTCTCGTATAATTTTATTTTGGGTACCATTTCTTTCAAAGGGAAGTTAAATTTACACTGCTACCTACTCCTTTAAATCTCTGAAGTAAAAATTCACTTGCCTAACATTGCGTAGCATATCAAGGACTGTATCTGAATAGGCATTTGATCTGTACCATTACTTATATTAATGGAGTGAATTTTAATATATGGAATTTGAATGCATTGATAATATATGATTATGTGTTAATGGGGATTGTAATTGATACAATAGTGGTGTAACCGACATCTCTAATAGCAAAAATGTCTGAACGCTTGATCTGAGGTGATGAAGTTAACATGATGAATCCTACCTCATTATATTTAGTGATAATAGTAAATCGGTAGTTTTCTCAACATTCTACAATAGGAACTTACTAATCTGTATCTAATTTGTCGTACCAATCTCTTGGTTTTTAAAAAAGATTACATGTGGCAGTAAAACACATTAGATCCTCAAAAGATACTTAGTAAACTCTGTAAAGTAAAAATACAACATTTTCCTATCAGAACAGTTATCATCTCATGAGTTACGATAAAAGGAATGGAACTGAACCATAATGAAAACATGAGGCGATACTAAGAGTGGACTTTAGATTAGTAAGTCAAACATACGATGAAACTTTGTAAACCAAATGGATATTTCGAAAAAAAAAACTAGATGGAGAGTTTTGAAATACTAACATTGTAACTCTGTTGTTATGGTCGTAACGCACCTAACCCTAATCATTCTAAACCTAAAACTCTTGGCATTCCTCTAACCAAAATACTCCTAAAACCTTATCTTCAAATTCCGTGCCGTTTCTGTATGTCACATCTTGATCACAGCCACACAAGATTAATAGTCCAGTATTCTGTAGATGATCAACCAACCTAACGAAATGCGAAATCTCACCCAAAAACATGATTGTCTTAAAACTCGCGCTTAAATTCAACAATCGCCGTCTTCGTTCTGATTGATCAATCTCATTCGTTTTAAAGCTGTCAGCATCGTTTATTTCTACCACATATAAAAAGAAATATATTTATTATTCAGCGAGTATACAAAACAATGCCAGAAAATAAATCCACCACTCATAAAACGTTAATAAACACAAATGGAATGAATAATCCTTGTTTTGCTTTGCTTTATAAGTTAACAAAAAAGAGGACTTCTATCTGCATATTTACTGAATATCAATGCTAACATTGTCAGTCAGTGATCTCAGGATGATGTATTGGGCACAGTAGTTGTTGTACTGTTAGTAAAATTAACACTTGAGTGTTGATTTGATTGTTGATTTTGCGACTGTTGTTGTCGTTGCAATTTATTTCCCAATTTAGATACTGCTGGTCCAATAGTTAACCGACATAAAATAATCCAACATATCACTAGAATTTTTACAGGTATATATGATATTACTTGACAGATAAAAATAGTAATATCTTTCATTGAATGATTATTTATCATGAGAGATTGTAGTGTTACCGGTGAAATTGTCTCAATTGGTGAATATGAAATTAGATAAGCCATAAATAGTGCTTCGATTGCATATAATCCAACGTAGATACTGACTTGACGAACCATCTGACACCCCACCAAAAAAAATTTTAGAAAGAGAAATACATACATACATAGATGTTTAAATGAAAAAAGAATAAAAAAATATGGACGTAGAATTATCACATACACCAATTAAAGTATAGTAGTACAGGGACGAGAGATTAAAGAATTCGCGACGAATTCCCAACTAGTTTCTAGTCAAACAGAAAATAGCTTCTATAAATGGATAGTTTACTGGAAGTGAAGCAATGATACTGCAAAGTGTAAACAGATTTTACATAATTATTAAATCTATTAATGTCTTCTACAAGTTAATTGGCCTGTTAATCGAAAAAAACTGATATATACTAGTGAAGATTAAATTACGAGTAACTTATGTGAACTATTAATGGACTAATATTGTATAACTAATAAGTAACTAGATTGTGTATATCTAAATTTTGACCTACAGACTATTATGATACGATTTACTATTCTTAAATTATACTCAGTTTATTGATTAAAATCTCCCATATTCACAGCCACTTTTTGGCTAAATTTTGTACAAATTTTATTTCTTATTTTATGGTGTGATGTGGCTAAATTTTGTACAAATTTTATTTCTTATTTTATGGTGTGATGTGGCCTGTTTGGCTGTTACATAAACCAAGTATGTTACAAATAAATGATCCACATAGTGGAAGCTGTTATTGGCATTCTGGACTGAACTGGAAGGGCTAGGAGAACAAAGGACTAATAAGGATGCTAGGTTGCTCATACCGGTCGAACGTCATTGGTTTGTTACAGTACTAAGACTGTAGAAGTTGAATTTCGATTGTCGAGTAAATAATGTGATCATTAGCCCGGCCTAATGATATAACAAAAACAACGAATCAATTTATCTATATTCTAGAACCTTTAAAATGACCCAGATAGATTTTTAAGTCGCCAGACTATTCTTAATTAGGTTTGAGACTATATGTTTAGGTTACAATTTAATAACGAACTGACAATAGCTGTATTGTAAAGCTTCTCTATAGCCATATGGATGAATTAATTTTGTCAAAAATATGAGATGCTAACTGATTACTTAGTCCATAAAATATAGTCCCATGTGGTTAAGGTTTCAGTCATGACCAATGGTATAAGATGGGGAAATTTTGCAGCACAGGTGGATGATTTAGGTGTTATCGTTCTCTGAGCAGGATGTTTTGATCGTGAAGCTTTCATTGTTTTTCTGAACAACACCGTTAGCACAAACTCTAGGTTGAAGTGAAGTGTTCGACGTTCTCGAGGTCATCCTCGATTTTATGTGAGTCATTTGTAGAGAAATTTGAACATATCACATAGCTAAAGTCTGTGCTGATGATGTTGTTCAAAAGAACAATGAAAGCTCTATGATTAAACCATCCACCTCAGAGAACAAAATTACAACTAAATTAATTATTTAAGTTTACAAATCAGTGATAACGTCGATTTGCCTGTTATACATAATCTAAAGAGATAGATTTATGCACTTGACAAATTTAGAACTATTACTTTCAATCTATAGTTGCAAGAAATAATTTTTAGCAATCATTCTAAACATTTTGAACAACGTACAAAAACATTTCTCTTGATCACTAAACATGATATTTAATTTCGTCCAGAAAACTAGATATCGGATTCTCGATTATGATTGAGACGTTCCTAAAGCATACTCTTTACTACACTAATCTTTTGAACTTGATAATTTGAAAAAAAACAAGATAGGATACAAGTTCGTGAAACTGCAGTACATTTGTTTTTCAATGTTTAGTATGTGTGAGATACCTAGCTTTTTTTGTTCATTTAGTGAGTGGATGTGGTATACAAGAAAAAGTATAATTTTCACAGAGGATTTCATTCCAAGCTCTAATTTTCACTTTTAATCTGCTTTTTCATTCAGCACGTTGTGATGAGCTACAGTGGTATGTTCATAGAAGGCATGTAAAGATAGCCTTATATGATTAAAATGAAATTCCCAGTGAAAATAATGCTGTTATATACAGTATTTAATCACTAAATATATAGAAAAATGTTTAAGAATGCTAGATATTGCATTGTTGTTATTGAACGCTGAAAAAATTGTTGTCAACCTCATATCTACAAAATAGTCTTTCATTATGACTGATGTCAGTTATTGACCAAAGGTCCATTATTCAGTTGTAATTTTACTACATTTTTATCACTCGTTTTAGAACTGAATAAACCTTTCTTATTGGTTAGAAAGTAGTTCAAGGTCGACCACATACTTTACGAAAAGATAAGCGGATCTGCTCTATTCAAATCGAATTCCAAATATAATATACATTTACTCTTATAAGTAATCATGAGCTCGTCGTACCTGTGTACATACACACACGAATGTTTATATATATTTATCTGACAATCTGGTCGCGTTAGATACCGTATCTCTTATACACGTGTATGATGATCAGTTTCATTTAATTTTCACATACGCTCGATTCATCCGTCCTTACTCTGCCTGCTCGCTTTATTTGAGAACAAGTTTACTTGAAATAAACCTTATCTAATACTACTACTTCATGCCGTGTGACTTATTTATTATTAAGCCTGAAGGTAAATGTAATTGCCAACATGTTTAAGTCAACTAATCACACGAAGTAAACCTAGATAAGTTAGTGATAAGAATCAAGCAGATCAGTTATAGGAATTGTAAACAACCCAACATACAAACCACGCGAAACAATGACAGTCAATGAACTGATATAGTAAGCATGGTTTTGTTGATTCCAATCTTTTAAATTTCTTCTAAATTAGTTATGATTGCATAAGGAAAAATTTTTAGCTAACTATACGTGAAAATTTTGATGAAAAAATTGTCAAATCTAAAAATGTGTTCATGTTGAGAGTAGAGTAAAAATAGCGAAAGTGGACAGCTTTGACGAACGTCACATGATGTAATTGATTTAAAAGACACTTCCCTATAAGTAGCACAAACTTGACTAAGTGTATTCGAATATAAAGAGCTTTCAATATATTTATGTAATTTCTGTCATGAAACATGTCAATCAACAGAGCCAAATCTACATTTCGGATCAACAGAAATGACTATAGTTGAAAGTCAGAAAAATGTGTACTTTAATTTATAACCTAATCCACAGTAACTGCCAAAAGTGATTGTCAACGAGGTACGGAATACAGTTCGAAGAAAACATTAAATCATGTTTCACTTCAACTATTTGTGTCTGTGAAAAAAAGAACCAATAAGAATAATTAGGTTCACCAACCAGATGAAAAGGTTTGTGCTAATCTGAGACATATTGATAGTAGGTTTTATGATAATACCCTATTACTGTAACCTGAGATGAAACGGGGTTCGGACACACGAACTATTGCTTAAAAATTAAACGTTCCGATAGTTACAGTTTCTGAAGAATAATAATATTGAATAGTTTTCAAATCAAAAATGCCAAAAACGAGAGGTTTGACGTCAGAATACAATAGAAAGTTGAAATTGTTGGTAGAGTGGCAAGAAATGTGTGTGAGAAGTGAAGAGGGACAATGGAATTAAAACTGAAAAGTGTGCGAAAACCCTAATTTTGGTAACCACTGTAGCATTCAAAAAATTGTAGACGATGCCATTGGGTCATTGACTTTTCAGTGCACGGATTGATTAAAGTTAGTAGTATTTTTGTTTTCCAGATAAATTTGCGAGTCCCCTTTCTAACATCGTTTCCTAACTTCATGCAATGATTAATTTTTTTTACCACTTAAGATCGTTCTGAAACTTCTAACCACCAGTATACTAGTGGTTAGTCATCCAGCTAGATGACGTTTTCCAGGGTAATTTCCCAAGCAAACGAAATGAGAAATAGAAGCGAACTCAAGAAAAGCCTTTGAGATAATCCATATGCATATAGAGGACTAAAAGTAGGATTGTGTGGGAGTTCCCCTTTCGCTTTATGTTTGAAATGTCGCCAAATTTCCTCTTTTCGCCTAGCCACAAATGTTCTCCATGTTCGCCCTCATTTCCACTACAAAACAAAGGTTTGACCGCATTTTGATTGCACTTGATTAATTGTAAAAACACACTGGGCAGAAACCTTTATTAACTGGTGTTATAATCTCTTTCTTACCGGTTATGACCCAGCTATTCCTATTGCTTAGTATTCTCGGGCACCGGTTCACTCGACAAGTCCCCAAATCAGAACACGGTTGAACATGAAAGAGATTATATTCCAAATAACAAGGTTAGATGGAAGCAAGAAGCCAGTAGAAAGCACAATAGGGAAAAACGTCAGTATATTTATAGATTTTTACATGAGAAGATTCTAGAATATTCTCTAACTATCGACTAGTGCTGATTGGATAAGAATTAGCCAATCAGCGTGTACCAAAGCAATCGTGCATTGAGCTTGCTTTAATCCAGTCTATGTTCCGCTAACAACTCCGCCTGTAGCTCTTCTAGAGTTACTGCCGGTCCCAAGCCCGGGTAAAGGAGGAGGGTTGGGCATGGGGTTAGCGTCCCCATCCCGTAGAAAACTAACTCGCTGAAAAACGCCTACCAGAATAAATAATTCAAATCATTTTAACTCTGCCCTGGGAGTTAGGTCTTCTTTTAGAAGAATTATGACGCTTCATGGTGAAAGCCGAGTTCCTTCGGAAGCCACGAGGCCGATGCCCCTTCTAACAACCAGAGCAAAAAATTTCGTAGGTACATGGAACGTTCGAACAATGTGGGAGACCGGGAAGGCCAGTCAAATAGCAACGGAAATGAGGAGATACAATTTGGCAATACTGGGAATCAGCGAAACCCACTGGACTCAAGCTGGACAGAAAAAGCTAGCTACGGGAGAGATGCTGCTATACTCCGGTCACGAAAAGGAAAATTCTCCACACACTCAGGGAGTCGCTCTAATGCTGTCCAAAGTAGCACAAAATGCACTTGTAGGATGGGAATCTCACGGATCCAGAATCATCAAAGCATCATTCAAAACAAAGAAGGAGGGAATCTTAATAAATATTATCCAATGTTATGCACCCACCAATGATAGCAACGA